CAGTGTCCGGCAGCCTCGCCTCTGTCAGTGCGCCCCAGGGTGACTGTGGCTACATGTAGCTGCCATCACCAGTGTGTGGATGTGTGTGTGAATGGGTGGATGACTGGATATGTAAAGCGCTTTGGGGTCCATAGGGACTAGTAAAGCGCTATATAAATACAGGCCATTTACCATTCAAATCTCTGTTTTCTGCATTATTCATTCGCTTATTACCCATCAGTCTACTGTTGTTTACAGCGCTGTCGGCCGCTGTCTTTTTTTAAATTTTTTAAAATCTTTTTACTTAAATGACCTCGGACAGGAATTTAAACATTTTAAAATTATGCAAAATGCAGAATTTTTTAAGGTTATCTGCTATAAAAAGCCAGGCCAGGAAAATCTGCTTCATGTTTTTCTGAGTTTTATTCTCAGTTACTTTGACACAAAGGCCTCTGCTGTGATGCTCACATCTCTGATAAAGTCTCACAAGTGTCAGTACTGATAAATGATCAGAATTATAATATTTCTGACTGTCTGAGGCAAAGTTGAATCAAATCGGGACTTTGTGAATTGGAATCGAATGGATTATAGAAATCAGTGATGATACCCAGCCCTAGCCTAAGAAAAGGTGCACCAGTGCAACCGTGGCAAAAAGTTAGTCTAGAGCCCTGTGAGTGTGTATATATATAAATATATACATGGAGAGAGAGAGAGAGAGAGAGAGAGAGATACTGATAATGACTGACATTTGGATATTTGGATAATGAGTAGTATTGTAGCTTCCAAATCTGACTCCCCCACACATCCCTTTCTGGGTCAGGTTGACCTGCCGTTAGTCCTGTAGTGTGTGTGTGTGTGGCAGGTGTATTGGAACCAGAGCTTTAGCAGCTGCAGCTTACTCAGTCATCAAGCCCTTTAAATACCCGGCTCTGCCACTTCCACTCAGCCTGACTGTAGACTTGGCTAACTGTCAGTGTCTGTATGCGTCACACCAAACCTAGACCAGGCAAGTCTTCTTTTGTCATAAATGTGCATCCCCCACTTTCCTCCCATTAAACGGCCATCCCACAGCTCTTTGCTCATTGAACCATAACAACGCAGCAGCCTCCCAGTGTGTATATTCTGCTAGTCTATTAAACGCCTGCTCTATTCTACCAAACTAGTTACTCATCCATAGCTCCAGCTGTCCATATGCCAGGCTAAACTCGTCTCCAGCTAGCTCTCAGTCAACAACAAGCTCCCAAAACCAAAATTCCCTTGTTTTTCCTGCTTTTTCTTACAGTTGTCCAATCTTTTAGTGGTCTGTGTAACAGCTACCACTTGTCTGTACAGATAACCTACAGTGATAGTGACAAAGTCAGCAGCTGGCCACAAGTATTAAATATGGTCACAATCTTTGTTTCTGTTCCTCAGGTGTTGGGTTAAGTAATGGTTTGAAAAGGGCATTTACCTACAAATGTGACGCCCCCGCGGCACTGATATTAGTAGTCAGCACTGCTGCCTCACAGCAAGAAAGTCTTGGGTTGAAATCTGTTGCTCATCTGACCCTTTGGTGTGGAGTGTGAATGGTTCTGTGTCATTCTGTGACAGACCAGTGACCTCCACAGGTGAAGCACACACACACACACACACACACACACACACACACACACACACACAAAAGATCAAATTCACTGTAAGATGGCCCGTAAGGATTTGCCACGGAGGA